CAAGGCTAGTAGTTTTCTTTACAAATCAGTGTAGCATACTTTGTTTTGTTTGTACTTTAATTGTAAATAAAAACTTTGCACATATATTTCATACGTTAGGTGCTCAGGAAGGTAAAGCACTCTGCCTTACTTGCAAAGAACTAACCGGTTAATGTATATCTGCAAGTTAGACTGTGCAGGATTGTGCATACAAATTTTGAAGTACTTAAAAATTCTGACTTTGAACATAAATCTTCTTTTTGTGTAATTAAAACATTAAGATATTTTTTCTATTATTTCGTCGTATAAAGTAGATATGATTGGTGTATTAACAAAGTTTAAATAATTTATATTTATTTATATGTGTTTGAGCGTATGTCAAACTTAAGGCGACCCCTGCATAAGACAGTGGCAAGCTACAATCTTTTGTGTTTTGTGGGTCGGCCAGTTGGTTTTGTTGGTGGGCTAGTTGGTTTTGTGGGTGGGTAACTAGCTTTTGTTGGTGGGCCAGTTGGTTTTGTGGTTGGGCTAGTTGGTTTTGTTGTTGGGTCAGTTGATTTTGTGGTTGGGCGAGATGGTTTTTTGGGTAGGCCAGTTGGTTTTGTTGGTGGGCAGGTTGATTTTGACGGTGTGCCAGTTGTTTTTTTTGGGTGGGTCAGTTGGTTTTGGTGGTAGGCTAGTTTGTTTCTTGGGTGGGTCAGTTGGTTTTGTTGGTGGGTCAGTTGGTTTTGTTGGTGGGCCAGTTGGTTTTGGTGGTGGGCTAGTTTGTTTTGTGGGTGGGTCAGTTGGTTTTGTTGGTGGGCTAGTTTGTTTCTTGGGTGGGTCAGTTGGTTTTGTTGGTGGGCTAGTTTGTTTTGTTGGTGGGCCAGTTGGTTTTGTTGGTGGGCTAGTTTGTTTCTTGGGTGGGTCAGTTGGTTTTGTTGGTGGGCTAGTTTGTTTTGTTGGTGGGTCAGTTGATTTGTTGGTAGGCTAGTTTGTTTCTTGGGTGGGTCAGTTGATTTTGTTGGTAGGCTAGTTTGTTTTGTGGGTGGGTCAGTTGGTTTTGTTGGTGGGCTAGTTTGTTTCTTGGGTGGGTCAGTTGGTTTTGTTGGTGGGCTAGTTTGTTTTGTTGGTGGGCAGTTGGTTTTGTTGGTGGGCTAGTTTGTTTTGTTGGTGGGCTAGTTGTTTTGTTGGTGGGCCAGTTGGTTTTGTTGGTGGGCCAGTTGGTTTTGTTGGTGGGCTAGTTTGTTTTGTTGGTGGGCTAGTTTGTTTTGCTGGTGGGCCAGTTGGTTTTGTTTGTAGGCTAGTTTGTTTCTTGGGTGGGTCAGTTGGTTTTGTTGGTGGGCTAGTTTGTTTCTTGGGTGAATCACTAGCTTTTGTTGGTGGGTCAGTGGGTTTTGTGGGTGGGCGAGATGTTTTTGTGTGTGGGCCAGTTGGTTTTGAGGGCTGGCGAGTGAGTGTTGTGGGTGGGTTAGTTTGTTTTGTGGGTGGGCGAGATGGGTTTTTTGGGTAGGCCAGTTGGTTTTGCTGGTGGGCAGGTTGATTTTGTTGGTGGTCAGTGGGTTTTGTGGGTGGGCCAGCTGGTTTTGTGGGTGGGCTAGTTGGTTTTGTTGGTGGGCCAGTTGGTTTTGTGGGTGGGCTAGTTGGTGTTGTGGGTGGGCCAGTTGTTTTTTTGGGTGGGTCAGTTGTTTTGTTGGTAGGCTAGTTGTTTTTGGGTGGGTCAGTTGGTTTTGTTGGTGGGCTAGTTTGTTTTGTGGTGGGCAGTTGGTTTTGTTGGTGGGCTAGTTTGTTTGTTGGTGGGCTAGTTTGTTTTGTGGGTGTCAGTTGTTTTGTTGGTGGGCTAGTTTGTTTTGTTGGTGGGCTAGTTTGTTTTGTGGGTGGGTCAGTTGGTTTTGTTGGTGGGCTAGTTTGTTTTGTTGGTGGGCCAGTTGGTTTTGTTGGTGGGCTAGTTTGTTTTGTGGGTGGGTCAGTTGGTTTTGTGGGTGGGTCAGTTGGTTTTGTTGGTGGGCTAGTTTGTTTTGTTGGTGGGCTAGTTTGTTTTGTTGGTGGGCTAGTTTGTTTTGTTGGTGGGCTAGTTTGTTTTGTTGGTGGGCTAGTTTGTTTTGTGGGTGGGCCAGTTGGTTTTGTGGGTGGGCTAGTTGTTTTTTTGGTGGGCCAGTTGGTTTTGTGGGTGGGCTAGTTGTTTTTTTTGGGTGGGTCAGTTGGTTTTGTTGGTGGGCTAGTTGTTTTTCTTGGGTGGGTCACTAGCTTTTGTGGGTTGCCCAGTTGGTTTTGAGGGCTGGCGAGAGAGTGTTGTGGGTGGGTTAGGGGTTAGTTGATTTTGTTGGTGGGCGAGATAGTTTTTGGAAAATGCCCCAACTGTGACATCTTTTCACACCTTCACAGGTTTGAATCACCACATGGGAAATGGGGTGACTTCTCAGCCCCCAGCTGAGGAATATCGAAACATCAGAAGACTTGCAATGAGCCTTATTACCCAGATTTCAAAGAATGCACACAAGGTTCATGGAATCTATGGCAAAGGATATAGAGCGGTTTGATCCAGATAACTGCTGCATCGATGAGTACCTCGGAGAGATCAACCTGTGCCTCTGTGATTTACCTGATGCATCCACACGAGTAAAACTCAGGCTGATCTGGAAGACAACTTCCAGGAGTGTCCATGACATCATGGCTACCCTGCGACGAAAAGGACATCAACGTACGTCTTCCCACTCGAATGGAGAACACATCAACGCCACTCTTGCCGTAAGGGACTGTCGCCGCCATCAAAACTCATCTGCATCTGTGTGCATTGATTGACTTGATGTGGCTTTGTTAAATAAACTCTTTTATAATTTAAAGAGCAGTTGTTTGTGATTGCTGGTATATTTGCATTGTGATACAAGCTGTGTGCGAAGGCTTGTGTACGGATTCCACGCCTTCAATTTATTAAATAAAGATAATTAATAATTAATTATATTAGTAATTAATTAAATAATTTGAGACTGATGTTGGGGATATTTGGTTATTTGTTCTCTGATCTCAGAGTGGTGCCCCAAATCAATTAAACTTGGTTAATAATATTTTTTAATTTATATTCATAATTAATTTAGGATAAGTATTATTATTACAACCAAATTTGACTATATAAAACTCCAACTGTATTAAATACCATCATTCTGATATTTAAAGCCTTTTTTAAAAACGTGGTGCAAATTCGCCATAGACTGACAGTTCCTGGAAAAACAAAGAGTGGGACCAAATTGCAGATACGAAAACTAAAGATTTAATTTTTACAAAAAGGCAAAATGCAAATACTAAACTTACTCTGCAAAGGTACAAACAAAGTCCATCAAAATCCGAACACAGGGAACTAAAACACAGAAGTTCACAAAGACCATTCGAGGCTCAGGGACACAAGGAAGGAAATGACGTATGACGAATTGACCAGGAAGTGTAAGACTTGAGGTCGTATAACCTTTTCTAGTCTTCTGACTACAGATGGTGCGTTCAATTTGATCTAGGAAGTCGGAAACTCCGAGTTACTGATACGTCATCAGGAACGCCCCTCTGAAGTCTGAATTCCAACTTTGACACTCGTTTAAAATACAAAATACAAAAAAGTGGGGAGCAGGTGGGGCAGTGGTTAGTGCGCGTGTCCCATGTATAGAGGCCATGGTCCTCCAAGCGGGCGGACCAGGCTCGATTCCGAACCTGTGGCTCCTTTCCCGCATGTCATACCCTACTCTCTCTCTTCTTGATTTCCACCAGGACCAGGCTTTCACCTCATGAGTGCTTGTTTACTGCAGATCCTTTCAGTATTTTAAATAATAGAGGATTTAACTTTAATTTAATCCACATTTCAACATCTTTTTTTAACAAAATAATCATGAAAAAAAATCACAAGCAGTATAAAAGAAAATACAGAATGTTTAACCTGCAATCAGATGAGACCTGTCAGCATGCATTAATATCAAGGACTGTATCAGCAAGAAGATTTACTTATCACACACACACACACACACACACACACACACACACACACACGGAATGATCTGATCTTCCACAAGTTATTGAAACATATGTTTATTTATTTACAGAGTTTAAGCTTCAGATCATCTTCAAATTAAACATTAAATCATTTTATAACAACCTCTGCCGTCTTTTAACCCTGCGACCTCTTGAACAGTTTGAGGCTGCACCAAGCGGTATCCTCTGGTGTTAAAAAATGAAGCTGATGCTGAAGTATAAAATCCTGCAGTTCCTGGAGTGTCCACTAGAGGCTGGCTGCAGGAACACAGGAAGTCACATACACACCCATTCTAAAAAGCCTGTTTTTACAGCAGAGATGAACATGTTTACAGCCTGGTTCAAAAAACCAAATAGGTGTGATTAGCTCATGTCTGGATGGACACACACTGTACGGGGGGTGAATGTTTTGATGACTCATCAGTTTTGATTTGATGAAGGATAAGAGTTATTCACAATAAGGCGTGTAGCTGACCTGATTGACAGGTGGGCGCGGTGTAACGGTTTGTCAGGAGGTTTAAAACCCGCCTCAGCTCCAGCTCTCAGCCTGTCGTTAGGTTGACTGAAAGTTAGACTGAGACAGCATTTCCAGCATGGAGACCGCCATCGATGGGACTCCAGCGCCCCCTGCAGGAACAGACGGGTGACATCCCTCCGTGCTTTGTGAAGTAACATTTACAGTCTATGTAATGTACACTGAAGACAAACAAGTAAAAACACTGTAAAAAACAATCTAAACAGCGTCTCTCGACCTCCTGCAACCCAGCACAGGACGTGTGGGAGTAGAGAACAAATAAGAAGGTGCAACCCCTAATTAAGAGTACATTCATCTATTTGGATCTACCACAGAAAATACTCTGCTGTCTACTTTTAGGAAGAAGTGTGTCTTTAAAATGTTGCAGCACATTGTGAATCAGAATGCTTTATAAAATGTTGAGAACAATCAAACAGGCCATTACACCCTTTGAATCTTAAGACGACTGTTATGTAGACCATGCAGAACTAAGTGCTAAAAAGCAGACCCTATTGAATCACTGATCCATCTCAAAAGCCTTCACAGCGGCGTAGATCCTCTCTTTCTCCGCTGCTTTTGCTCCTTTCTTCGATTTCATCACGGTAAAGACGACGGCAGAATAAACCTGATCTCTCTGTAACAACACAGTGAAGGAGATGAGAACAATCAACATGAATATAAAGTCAGAAAAGTAGTTTTATAAACTTTAATCTTACCTTTAAACTCTCCAACATCTGTCTTCTCCAAACATCACAGTTTTCTCCCAAAGCATCAGATGCTGAAATTAGGAGAGAGACAAAAAAATGATTAGGAAACATTTAAATCAAACATTATTTTATCAAAATGAAACAAGAGTAATCTTTATTACCGTTGTTGTTTGTCTTGATGGCATGAATAAGGAAGGCTATAACGATGAGCGTGAGGGCCAAGGCAGCACAGAGCAGAAAAGTAACTGTGGTTTCCTTCAGTGAAAACTTCCCTGAAACAGAATTAGAAGAAAACGTCTTGATTACAAGATTTTAAAATTAAATTGTTAAATGCAATTTATCCATGAAGCCATAATTAGGCACTTGAATCTGTTTTACTGATACTGTTACCTTCAACGTCCACTTTGGTCCCATCTCCAAATAAAAGGCGTCCACATGTGTCCACAGCACAGTAGTAAGTCCCAGCATCAGAGGAGCTGATGTTCTTAGAGAAGTGATGAACACAGCTTTTCTGAGAGGCAGATCTCTCCTCACATCCATCACGTCTGTTTCCAGCAGTGTAGATGATGTCTGGACGAGATTCATGTGATCCGGCTCTGAACCACAACACGCTGTGACCTCCGGGACACGTTTTACTGTCCGGGTCAGAGAGGACTGAACACTGCAGAGACATCAAGTCTCCTGGACGGAGCTGATCAGAGACTGTCGGCTCCTGAACGACTCTCAGCTCTGTTGTCCTCTCAGTGTTTCCTGCATGAAACCAACAGACCAGGAGGTCAAAACAGAAAAACGTTGTTTCATGTAGAAAAAAAAAGGTCTGCTCTGATGGCATAGAGCTGACTTTATACCAGAATATTTTCAAATCTGATCTAATTATAAAAAAGCTGAGAGACCACAGACATGAGGACAGTCTCGACTCATTTTTCATTTCATAATCCTCTGACACACGAGACGATTCAGCGAGACCATGAGACCACACACCTGCTGTTTGAAGTAATAAAGTAACGGACACAACAAGCCTCGAATTGGGCCTCTGCCTTTACGCTTCATTTCAGCTGCTGTCTCTTTAAGGTCCCCCTCCCCAAGTGCCCACTCTCTTCTGATTGGCCAGCTCTCTATAAGACTTCTAGGGGGCAGAACACTGCAGGGCTGCAAGGGGAGGGCTGTTCTCCATTGCTTGGAGAAGAGAGTAAATGTAAGAGGTTTCAGCGGCTTATGTAGATGCTTGATCTGAAACTTTACCCATGTTTACTTTGGGCATCCAGCATTGTAACACTAATGTGAGTTTAAAATGAGGATCAGCAGAAAAGGTTGACTGTACTCAAACTCGGCAGATTGGCACTGAAATGGAGTAAATGTGGAGCTGGTTTATCCGAGTTATGACCACTCGAACATCGATGGAACTCCAGTTAAGACAAATGAGTATATTTCACATACAGAATGGTTTTAACAAACTATAAAAATATTGTAAAGCTACATTTAGCACATTTATTATCTCTCTGCTGATCCTGTCATGTGCACATTGTTAGTATTCTCAAATCAGGTTTTTGTTATTAAAGGTTAAAGTTCGAAACTGGATTTCATATTTGATATTTATGAACAGGGCTGCAGCTGCTGAAGGTGATATTGGATGTCAATATAAGATAATTAGGGGCAGATTTTTTCACATCTATATAGCACAGATTTAGATCAGCGTCTTCTGACGTGTAAAACGTGTAAAAATATATCAC